GTTTTATCATCTCAGAAATTCACTCATTGACTTTCTCATCTAAAAATCCTCCTGAAGTTGGAAATTCCTACCAGAAGAACGTCTAAGCAGACCAGTTCTTGCTCTTGTGCTTATATATATAGATATGATATGTGTGTGTGTATATATACATATATATATACACACACCAATGTATATATAGGCAGTTCTGTTTTGACTTAGGCCAGTCATATAGTCATACTTGTAAAGCAGGCTTATAATAGAAGTATTTCACTGGGCTGGGGAGAAATGAAAAAAAAAAAGGACAATGTAGAAAATTGTACAGAAAGCTAGTTATTATACTCCAGAGTATTACATTGTATTTATTTTGAGATTTTTAAGTTCCAAAATATCTTCATATTAGTAAGTTATGGTGGTTCCTTCCCCTCTTCTGAAATCTCCTGCCTGTCAAGTAGGCCAAATATTGTCGACCTGTTCTGTATTGATTCATCTAGTTGGTTTGTGAAGTTTATGAGTCTATGAAATCCAAAATTGGGTACCACTAGCTTATTTTGTGCACACCTGTAATTGGGGTTGATACATTGGGTGGTTTTCTTCTCAGGTCAACAATGAGTTCTCTTAGTTTTTGATACCAGCTGGGTGTCCAACAATTCAGCTGAATACAAACACTGACTCTCTGAAGTTAGTAGGTTAAGGGCTCATTCCCACAAGACTGCCCCACTTTAGACCTGACTACTGTTGACTGGGAAAAAAAAATGCAGTGTGACAGTAGTGAGTTAAGTTTTACTGAGGCCAATTGAGAACTGTAGCCCAGAAAACGGCCTCTCAGAAAGCTCTGAGGAACTGTTCTGAAGAGATAAGGGGGAGGTCAGTGTATGTGAGATTTTGGTGAAGGAGGATCAATCAAGCACAGGTTTTCTCAGAGGCTTGCTGCTAGTCACGAGAAGGTTGCTGCTAGTCACGAGGAGCAGATGTCTCCGTTAATGATTTTAGTGCTTTTCTAGATATGAGAAGATGCAAGAAATCGGGCTCATCTGAAGGCCTGTTCTGCCAGTTTTTCCCAGAGCAGAGCGCCTCATTGCTGATCTCCACCCTGAACTCCTTTCAGGGTATATTGAATGTCAGCGATTGCAGTGGCTAGTGGCTTCATTCTTTTTTTTTTTTTTAAAGAACAGACTAAATCTTTAATGGATTTCAAATACAAAAAATTAAAGACGTGTTACAAAAGTCAAATATAATATTGTTAACCATACTGTATCATTTTAATATTAACACAGAAAAGTATTTGAATTAATCATGAAAAGTAAAAAAGACTTATTTAGGGGAAAAAAAAAATCTCCCTCAAATAATCCTGCCTCTTTTTATAACTTTGAGATCTTTACTTACTTGCTTGCTTAGTTACTTGAGGGCAAGGACCATCAAAAACTGACGGTAAGTTTGGTTTAAAAGCATTTGTTTTGTCTTCATTTCCTTAGTGGCTTCATTCTTGTAGAACCAGATAGCAGGTAACAGTGTTTAGTTGGCACTGCTAGTCAGGTACTTGGGTTACTCCCTACTTATGCCCAGCAGCCTACAAATTCAGGGGTTGCCACGACTCCCCTTCAGGCTCAGTAATTTGTTAGATTGACTCCCAGAGCTCAGAAAAGTGTTTTACTTGCCATTCCTGATTTAGCATAAAGGACACAGCTCAGCCTGATGAAAGAGATGCATAGGGCAAGGTATGGAGGGCTTCTTCCAAGCTCTCTCCAGGTATGCTATCCCAGCTAGAACCTCTGTGTGAGCTTCTTTGGGTGTGTTTATGGAAATTTCATCATGGATATGTGATGGCTAATTCATTGGCCATTGCCGAGTGAGACCAGTCTTTGGCACTTCTCCCCTCCCCAGAGGTGGGGAAGGACCAGGACTGAAAATTTCTACACTCTGATCATGGCTTGCTATTTCTGGTACCCAGCCCCCATCTGAAAGCCTAGAGTCAGTCATCTTATTAGCGTACCAAAGATACTGCTTGGGAGATGCCAAGGGGGTTAGGAGTTCTGTTCTAGGAACCAGACAAAGACCAAGTATTTTTTTTTTTATTATACCATAGGATTTGTGTCTCTAGTGAGGAGAGGTCCTCAGGAATGTGTGTGGAAGGAATGGAAAGATTTGACTTGGTCAGTAAGGTCCCACTGGACAGTGCCATTCTCTTTCTTGGCTGGGCCTTGATGTGGCTTCTCTGAGGACTGGATGCCTGCTAGAACTCAGGGTTGTCTGGGGCTAACTCATGTCTTTACAGCTTGATACATAACCTGAGTGGCTCTGACTACATCTCCAGTAACATCTCAGCTCTTACCCGCTTCTTATCTTGTTCCCTTTAATCTTGGTTTCTCTTTGTGCTTCTTGTTTTGTTGAGTGTCAGATTTGTATCCTTAATCTCATAATGAAGATGTCTTTTCATCTTCATTATAAAACATCAACTAGTATTTGCATTTTTGGGCTTTTCTTGGCTACTTTGATATGTTCGTTTAGAGATTAATAGCTATTCAGTTAACTATGAGGGTATGATTACACCACCAGCCTTATGGCAGAAAGCGAAGAAAAACTAAAGAGCCTCTTGATGAAAGTGAAAGAGGAGAATGAAGAAGTTGGCTTAAAACTCAACGTTCAGAAAACTAAGATCATGGTATCCAGTCCCATCACTTTGTGGCAAATAGATGGGGAAACAATGGAAACAGTGAGAGACTTGATTTTCTTGGGCACTAAAATCACTGCAGATGGTGCTTGCAGCCATGAAATCAAAAGACACTTGTTCCTTGGAAGAAAAGCCATGAGCAACCTAGGCAGTATATTAAAAAGCAGAGACATTACTTTGCCATCAAAGGTCCATCTAGTTAAAGCTGTGGTTTTTCCAATAGTCATGTATGGATGTGAGAGTTGGACTGTAAAGAAAGCTGAGCACGGAAGAATTGATGCTTTTAAACTGTGATGTTGGAGAAGACTCTTGAGAGTCCCTTGGACTGCAAGGAGATCCAGCCAGTCCATCCTAAAGGAGATCAGTCCTGGGTGTTCATTGGAGGGACTGATGTTGAAGTTGAAACTCCAATACTCTGGCCACCTGATGAGAAGAGCTGACTCATTTGAAAAGACCCTGATGCTGGGAAGGATTGAGGGCAGGAGAAGGGGACAACAGAGGATGAGATGGTTGGATGGCATCACCGACACAATGGACATGGGTTTGGGTGGACTCTGGGAGTTGGTGATGGACAGGGAGGCCTGGCGTGCTGCAGTTCATGGGGTCGCAAAGAGTCGGACCTGACTGACTGAACTGAACTGAACTGAATTGTGTGTCCAAAAATATAGTGAAAACTGGAAAATACTGTTCTATATTAATTTACAGATGGGTTTATTGAATTGTTGTTCACTCGAGTTAGTAAATTTATTTCTTGGATTGTATGCTATAAAAGGCACTTTGCCTTAGCTTGTTTCTTTCTAAAGGGTTATGTAAATTTTGTCACTTAACAAGTATTTTTATTGTGAGTGATGAAGAGATTTCAACTGCTGTGCTGACAAAGACTCTTTAATCAAGCTTTTAAAAATAATTCAGGCTTTAGTCATTGCCTCATTTTTACTCCCAGAACTATTTTACAAAAAAAAATTCAGTATAGCATAAAAATTTAGACAGTACCACTGGGTTTATTTCAGTGTTTGTACTGCATAGATGTTATTACCAGTTATTTTGGTGAGATTTCGTTAATGGAAAATTATGAACAGTTTTAACACTACCGTTGTGAGTGGTTTTATTGCTCAGTGCTGTGACCTCTTTAGGTCTCCTGTGATCCTTCTATCATCGAATCACAGAAGTCTAGCAAAGCACATACTGTTGAGAGATGGGCCAGAAGGGAGGGATGAAAGTGACTTTTTGTTTCCCAGGATATTGGGGAAGAACCCACATGATTTACTTTGAGGCTGAAATTTGTGTAATGAGCAATGCTTTCTTTAAAGATAGGGTTGGGTAAGCTACTTAGCATCTCCATTAACAACTACTTAAATGTCAGGTGAATCTATGAAAATTGTGAAAATTGAGTCATTTTAATTAGGTTAATAGTCATCATGGAGTTAACATACCTGTTTTCTTCTGTTCAATTTTTGTATTTTATTTTTAAGAAGTCAACTATGGTATAAAGTAAAATTCCAACTAATCTTTTTTGCCCAGTAGTATTTTGAAATATTTGAAATATGAAATTATTGCTTAATATGTAACTAAGATCATCCCTACAACAACAGCAACAAAATCTCATTCTCACTTGGTAACAATAATTGAGATGAAGCTGAGGTTTAAAAATTCTATCATAGAGTTGGTCTTTTTTTCCTTAACATCTATTTGTGAAGGTTAGAGTTGAAAATCTAGAAGAATGCTTAGAAATCATCTCATTTTATTGTTTCATTTTTAAGTGAAGAAATTTGAGACATAGGATGTTATCTTATCTGAATGGAGTCAGGGGCTCCGTCACAGTGCTAGTGACGATCCATGGATCACTAGTGCCCCTCCATATCTCACGGGACAGATGGAGCCTAGCAGAATTCGTTATATAGACCTTGAAGCAAGCCTGATGATAAAAGTAATTTTTCCAGTAAAGATGGGTAATCAAAAACAGTTCACCAATAGTATAAATGTATATATGCACACACAGATGATGGTTAATTTATACTTGTAGTTATATTCTGTTTAATGAATATATTAGATTTATTGATAGAAGAAAATTTTTTTTTATTGTTTATATAATATACAATCTCCTTTGTGGATCCTGATTCCCGCCTTCTGCTTCCTCACTACACTTCATTTTTTGGTCTGTCTTCCCCATTAGAGTCTACTCATAAGAGCAGGAAAGCCTCTGCCTTATTCACTGTCGTCATTTCTAGCACCCAGTAAAGCACTGATTGTTGACCGACTGCTTCATTAGATAACTATTTTATATGGCCTTATGGGAAACTTAGCATATTTAAGTACCTTAAAAGTTTGCTTTTTTTTTTCCTTTTCCCAGTGAACAGAGTATCTGTCAGGCAAGAGCTGCTGTGATGGTTTACGATGATGCCAACAAAAAGTGGGTGCCAGCCGGTGGTTCAACTGGGTTCAGCAGAGTTCATATATATCACCATACAGGCAACAACACATTCAGAGTGGTGGGCAGGAAGATTCAGGACCATCAGGTAAGGATTTGTTAATTCTTAAAGTTATCTAGTATTACAAAAGGACTTGATATATTCAGTAAAATAAAGTCATATTATGTAGCCAAAAGAGTCTGTATGGGAAAAACTGGGTATAGCTTTGCCATTCTACCCTCTCCATCTTTTTAAAGCTTGAATTTAGGTGACAGTTTAGAACGAATTGTTCAGAAATATAAATCTGAGTTTTTCAATTATGATATTCACTAAATCCTCTGGCCTTCAAACTAGCTAGGTTTGAGAATCTAAAGTAAATTTAAGACAAGCTAAAATGTGAAATATCACTTAAGTAGCAGATTATGCTTAAGGAATTCATTTCCCACCAAAGGTATGGGGTATGGGACTATAGGAAGGAGTTCAAAATTTAAGTAGTTTCATAAAGTATTGTTAAGTTCATATGTGATAGAAAAATTGTATTAAGGTTGCTGGAATAGTTAGGCTTTTGTAATTCATGTCTGGCATGACAACTAAGCTTTTGCTAATTCCCTGCTCTGGATTTCTTAGAAAGGTGACTGGATTATCTGATTACTTGATTTCTGGGGCCTTTCCAGATCAGGAGCCAGTAGACAGTGCAAAATGGAGATAGTGTTTTACTAGCATTAAATATATACTAATAGCAATGAGGACTTTTATAAAGAACAGATTTACGAAATACTTTTGGCTGTGCTAAGCTGGTAAAATCAGCCAGTGTTAAACATGTGGGGGGTGGGGGGGGTGGAAATGAAACAGATTACCAGCTGAGTTATTAGAGAAAGATAGTTCCCTGAATATCCACTGGGAAACAGGCTGGTGTAGTGTGTGGTGAGATGCTGTGACAGCCCTGTATTTGGGGATGGAAATTATAAACTGGTAATATCTGGGGACTTAGATTTGGTATTTGTGTTGTACAGATTGTGGCCTTTGAAATGCTGGGCCTCGAAACTGGTATCAAAATTTCAAAACTGCCTAAAGCTGAGCCTTTTCAAGAGGCTGCACACCATAAAAAGAAGACTAAGAAAATCTTCCTAACCAGCACTGGTAGGCAGAGGAGTTTGTCTGAGCTAGTTTAGGAGCTCCTCTGAAAAATGGAAGCCTCCAGCTTCATTTACACATCTCCAGCCGAGAAATTAACCAATCCTGGTTGCGGGCCAGTGAAACCCCTACGGCACCTGGCAAAAACAAATATATTGCTCCCCAGGAGAGGAACTTTCCGAGACCTGAATCAGTTGGCAGAAAGAGCAGTTCACTGAACTGAGCAAGTTTCCCTATGAGTACTGACTGTCCTAGCCTGCTGCTCTCTGCCCTCTGAGGCCCCCTTCTCTCCCCGTGCCTCCACCCCCACTCTATCCTTCTTCTCCCGCCCCTCTCTCCTTTTGCTGTGTGCGCCTCTTGCTCAGCCTTCCTCTGGTTTCCCCAGTCTCTGTACCAAGAACCCTTGCTGCTCAGTGGGTATCCAGACTGTCCTGTCTGTCTCTCCAGCAGACTGTCTCAAGAGTGAGTTGGGCCAGAGACTGACTGAATACTCCCTAAGATGCTGCTACAAAGTAAAAATGGGAACTGGACAGCTAGCACTTTATAGAAGTTATTGAACATTTTAAACACATTGCACGCTAGTAGCTGTAAAATAAATTTTTGGTGAATTCAGTGTATTGGTCATTTGATATCCTGATGAATAAACCTAAACATATCTAAATGTTGGTGAAAAAGAAGATGAGTATTTAAAAATAATTGGATCAAATCATTTTGTACCCTTGAATATGTTATATATCAGTTACATCTCAGTTGAAAACAGATGATTAGAAATCTATGTAAAGATGAAATGCCTACATTTTTATTCATAAGAGAAGTTAACTATCCTATGATTTCCAGTTTTGAAAAGTGGGGTGTTTCTTAAAATGTCAGAAATTTAAAAATACACTGCTATAAATAATTTGTGACACTAAGATGAAATCATTATGAAGATTAGAAAATGTTCAAAAGTAAAAAAAAAAAAACAAAAACAGGAAACAACAAAACCCTGGATCTAAGTGACAAGATATGACACATAGAAACCTGTGGGATGTCTAAGCTGTCCTCAGACAGACAGTCCCTCCCCCACTCTGCCTGTTTGTTCTCTGTATGTGTGACTCTGTTTGTTTTGTTATGTTTGTTCATTTGTTTTGTTTCACATACCACATATAGGTGAAACCTTAAGAGCATTTGTCTTTGTCTGACTTACTTCATTTAGCATAATATCCTCTAGGTAGATGGGCAAATCTTAATGGCATATAATAAGCAAACTCAAAGAAAGCAGAAGGGAATACTAAAAATAAAACAAAATAAATAAGAAATAGAAATTAATAACACAGAAACTGTTTCCCTGAATAAATTGACAGAATCAAACCCCCAAAAAGTTACAAATAAAACATCATTAGGGTTGGAAAGAGATGTCACTGTAGTTACAGTAAGGAAATAAATCATAAGATAATATTATGAACAACTTTACACCAATAAGTGGGCCATTTTGTAGAAAAATATATATTAAAATTAATTAAATTAAAATTGAAAATTAATTAAAATATATATTAAAATTAATTAAATTAAAATTGAAAATTAATTAAAATATATATTAAAATTAATTAAATATTAATATAAAATATATTTTTACCAATCACAAAATACATCAGTAGTTAATGATCTACCCCATATATTTTTTAAAAAGGACAGCGTCCAGAGCATTTATAAACAAAATTAAAAATCTTTATTACCTGTTTTATGTAAACTGATCTAGAAAAGCTTATTTTGGGACTTCCTTGGCAGTCAGTGGTTAAAACGCCACCTTCCAGTGCAGGCGTGCTGGTTCAGTCCTTGGTCCGGAAGTCAAGATACCATATGCCTAGTGGTCGAAAAACCAAAACATGAAACAGAAGCAATATTGTAACAAATTTAATAAAGACTGTAAAATGACCCATGTTGAAAAAGAAATCTTAAGAGTACTTTATGAGGCTAGTGTAATTTTGATGTCTAAGACACAGAACCGTTTCAGAGAGGAAAATTAAAAACACATTTCAGTTATTAACATTGATGAAAGAGATGAAAGACAGAGATTAAAAGAGATGAAAGTCCTCAATAAGATAATAGCAGGCCAAATGTAACAATGTATATTGGAGGAGAGGGTGGGGAGAAGATCACCTCTTAACCAAAGAGGATTTCTTTCTATCTCAGTAATGTAAAGGTAGTTTAACATTAGTAGCCTATTAATTTGGTAGGAGAAAACCTAGAAGAAAAAGTGTTTTCAGGAAAAACACTGATAAAATCCTTACAGAATAATGCTCAGCATGTTTGGCATAAAAATGAGTTTTCTTAAGCTGTTAAGAATGAATAATGTAAACATCCAGCAGACATCTACAAGACAGTTCAGTGTTGAAAGGATTTCCATTAAACTCAGGAATAAATTTGAGGATTTCAGCTTTAGTCATTTTCATTTTCTCTTGCAGAGGTGGTAATCTAGTAATATAAAGATAAAGAAATAGAAACTATAAGGATTGAAAAGGAAGAAAAAGAGCTTGACCTTATTCATTGATGATATAATTGTCTATGTAAAAAAATGCCAATATCTGCAGATAAAATATTAGAACTAATAAAATTGTTCAGCCAGGTTGTTGGATATAAGATGAATATATAAAAATCAGTAGCATTTTTTTATAACTAGCAATAAACACTTTGAAAATATAATTTTATACAGATACTACTTAAAGTAACAGCAGTGATAAAATACCTAAGAATAAATCTCATAAATACTTGGTTTCATTCCAGAGTACCTTTTTTCATTGCATAATGGTTATCAGTCTGTTTTAAGGGGGAACATATTATAATTTATTAAATAATGTCTAAGAGCCCATTAAAAAATTAACCACAGTTTATTTGTAAAATTGAATATGTACAAATCATATATATATGAAAAGCTGCCATTTTTCTCCTTAATACTTCAGTACTTACTGTGTTCTAGGGGCTGTGCTTAGGTTTTATATAGGTAATAAATTCCTGACGTTGGAAGAACAATGCAGTAAAGAATGGGGATGTTACACATGTAAAGAAAGCACAGTTAGTTATTTCAGTTATGATCAATAAATCATTGTGTAGCTAGGGCATAAAAGAATGATCAGTTTGTTGAGAAGATGGGGGAAAAGGTTGTGATGACTTCATAGACAAGATAAGCTGATGAGCCATGTCAGAAAGAAGCATAGATGTTTATTGCACAGTTTAATCTGTTACGATCAGGCTAAAAATGGATGGGTGTATGCAGGGTGGAAATCACTAATCTAGATTCAAGCTCCTTGGGTCTGCTGTAGTAGAATTTTGAAGAAGTTCATACCCAATAGCATCCTTAGTGAACAGTGACTGTTAAATGAAGGTGTATGTGTCCCTCTTTACTTTTAAAGCTTTTTAAGATTATATAGCATTGTCTATCCTTGAAAGATAAGAATTGAATGAAATAATTTGTTCACAGTTTAATTTCACAGTAAAGTTTCTGTGAAAAAACTGAGCTAATGATTTAGGTAGTATAATTTTGATTCTAGTAATATTTTCCTCAACTTTTTCTAATAGTCTGTCACTGAAGAGTTGAAAAGTAAACGTAACTATCTTTTTTGTCTGCCCTTATAACCTATTTGTCAAGCAGGATATAGATTGCCTTAAAATTTGGTTCATAGTTTTCTTGTGGTATTAAATTCTAGTAGCTAAGGATTTGTAACCCTCTCCCACTCTCAGTATGTATAGAAATTAAATGGTAAGACATGACCGTAATTTTTAAGTTGTAGTAAAAATAACATAAAATTTACTATTTTAATAAATTTTAAGTATACGGTTCAGTTCAGTTCAGTCTCTCAGTCGGGTCCAACTCTTTGCAACCCCATGAACTGCAGCACGCCAGGCCTCCCTTGTCCATCACCAACTCCCGGAGTCTACCCAAACCCATGTCCATTGTGTCAGTGATGCCATCCAACCATCTCATCCTCTGTCGTTCCCCTTCTTCTCCTGCCCCCAATCCTTCCTGGCATCAGGGTCTTTTCCAATGAGTCAGCTCTTCTCATCAGGTGGCCAAAGTATTGGAGTTTCAACTTCAGCATCAGTCCTTCCAATGAACACCCAGGACTGATCTCCTTTAGGATGGACTGGTTGGATCTCCTTGCAGTCCAAGGGACTCTCAAGAGTCTTCTCCAACACCACAGTTCAAAAGCATCAATTCTTTGGCACTCAGCTTTCTTTATAGTCCAACTCTCACATCCATACATGACCACTGGAAAAACCATAGCCTTGACTAGACTGACCTTTGTTGACAAAGTAATGTCTCTGCTTTTTAATATGCTGTTTAGGTTGGTCATAAGTTTCCTTCCAAGGAGTAAGTGTCTTATAATTTCATTCAGGGACATTAAATATATTCACACTGCCGTGCTGCAACCATCACTACTATTCATCTCTGGACTATTTCATCCAGACTGAAACTCTGAACCCTTTAAACAATAATTTCACATTTCCTTCCCCCATAACCCCTGGCAACCTCCATTCTCCATTGTTTTGCAAATTTTGTTATTCTGGGTATTTCAAATAATTGGAATCATACAATATTTTTTCCTTTATATCTAGCTTATTTCACTTATCTTTAAGTGGTCATCATATTTTAAAAATAATGTCATGTTTGGATATTGGTGGATGAGGTAATTTAGATAAAGCCTCTCTCTGTGAACCAAAATAATTGGACGGAATATTTAAAAGAAAAAAGTCTTATTTGGAGAGCTTACATGACAGTGAAGAGTTATGGATCCATGACTTAAAAGAAGGAATCAGAGAAGTGAGCCTAGCTTGGAAGCAGTTTTTACCCAGAAGCACATAGTAGTTTTGAAAGAGGAACCTGAATAGCTGAACAGAACTTTTGGCAGACTCCCGGGACTAGGAGAACAAAGACTGTAAGTCAGATCTGCTAATGAGGGGAGGTTGTCTTGGTAATCACACAGGTTGTGATTTGGGACCCAGAAGCCCCATACCCTGGGGAAGAAGTGTGACTCTAAGTAGACTGGCCTTTAGAAGAACTGATACCCAGCCTCTGATCAGTTTTGGTTTGAGGTAATTTGAAATTGTTAGTTTCCCTAGCTGCTTGCCAGAAACAAATGTAAATCTTCCCTGGAAAAATGTAGCATCATTTTAGGCCTCAAAATTTCCATAGCGTTATCCATAGTCAGTGTCTGGCATTCAGTCAAAATAAACAGCAAAAGAGGAGACAAGAGAACAGTAAGAGGACAGACCTACTGGGAATCCAGTTAATGGGATTGTCAGAAACTGACTTTAAAATGACTATGCTTAAAAAAAAAAAATGCTTAATGTATTCAAGGAAATAAAAGACTAAATTGAGAATTTCAGTAGAAAAAGAGCTGAATGGAAATGTTGGGATTGAAAAATAGAATAGCTGGTATTAGTAGCTCAGTGATGAGATTATAACAAATTAGAAGCTACTGAAAAAAATTAGTAAACTGAAATACAGATCAGAAGGAAATATTCATTCTGAAGCTGTGATGTTTGGAGAGAGAAAATTATGGACATATGAAAAAGCGTTTAAGAGACATAGGAAATACAGTAAAAAAGTGTAAGGTATACCCTTACCTTATTGGCCTCTCAGAATAGAGGAGGGAATGCGGCAGGAGCAGTAATTGAAGACAAAATAGTGAACACAAATTTTCAGAAATGGTGAAAGGATATCACCTTAGAAATGCTGTAAACCGTAAGTGGATAAGTACAAAGAAAATCACTTATGAACATACCATATTAAAATCACTGTATACTAAATTCAAGTTGAAGTTCTTTAGTTTGATCCATGAGAAAAATACAGCTTTAAAAAGCAGTAATAAACTGTCAACTGACTTCTCAGTAGAAACAACGAAAGTTAGAAGGCAAAGAATAAAAGAAAATAAATGACCAGTTAAGTCCCATACCTAATAGTCTTCAATACTGAAAGTGAAATAAAGGTATTATCTTGAGAAACCAAAATGGAATATTCATTGTCAGGAGATCTGCTTTGAGTGAAATTCTGAAGGGTGATCTTTAAGATCAGAAATGGTCCCAACAGAAGCTTGGAGAGGACAGAGGAATAAAAAGCAACAAAAAAAGTGTAAATATTGGGTAAATCTTAAATGACATCAACTGTATAAACTACTAATAATGTTTTATGGGATTTAAAATATAAATGGAATTAAAAATACCTGATAAAAATAGTGTAGAATTCTTAGGATGGGCACTGGGGAAAAGGGAGTTTTATTTGAGATGAGGTATTGTAAGTCTGTGTATTGTTGAGGTGAAGACAAAAATATTGCTTCCTGTGTGTCTTTGATAAGTTTAAGATGTCTGTTTCAGTCTCTGGGGCAACCACTGAACAACAGTGAAAACATTGTGTAACTAGCAAGCTAATAGGACAATAGTAAAGAACTCTAAAAGAAGATATGATAGATTTAGACCCAAATTTATATATAACTTACATTAAGTGTTAATGGATTAAACACTACAATTAAAAACAGAGACTGGTGAATTGGATGAATAATATGAAATTGATAGTAAGTATAAAATTATAGCTGCACACAAAGGACTGAGAACAGCCAAAGCAATATTGAGCAGCTGCAAAGTAGGAGGACACACTAGTGGCTATCCAGACTTCCTATAAAGTTATAATAATTAAGTCACTGTGATGTTGGCTCAAAGATAGGCATACTGACCAGTAGAACAAAATAGAGCCATCTAGACACTTAGTTTATGAAAAAGGTAGCCTGCAGCAGGCTGATAGGTACTGCTGGATCAATTGGACAGCCATAGTGGAACAAAAAGGAAAGCTGAACCTTACTTCATATTGTAGGCATAAATCAATTCCAGTTGAATTAGAGATGTAAATATGAAGGTTAATACAGTAAAGCTTCTATAAATTAACATGGAATAATATTTTTATCACTTTTATCACATGTGAGAAGCATTTGTTAAACGAATTTCAAAAAGCATTGACTATATAAAGGAAAAGATTGTGTATTTGGACTGAATAAAACCTAAGAACTTCTGTTCATCAAAAGACACCATTAAGAGAGTGAAAAGGCAAGTCACAGAATGATAGTAGATGTTTGTAACACACAACCAACAGTGGGATCATCCAGAATATATAAAGGACTCTCAATAGATCAATTAAAAAAAAGATGGGCAACTCAGTTAAAAAGCGGGCAAGGGATTTAATTTAAGCTTGTATTCATAGAAGATCTCCAGATAGCCATTAAAATACAAAAAAGTGCTACATCTCAATGGTAATAAGGGAACTACTACCTAGAACCTCAGTGATGTAGTATTTACACCCAGCAGAATCGCTAAACTTTAAACTGACGATACCAGTTCTAACGATGCACTGTATGTGTGGTTGTGCAAGCCGTTGTATACTGCTATGGGAGTGAAAATCGATGGGACCAATTTGGAAAGCTACCTGGAGTTTTCTGCTGAAGTTGAGCATATGTTTGGCTTGTGGCAGTTCCACTTCTAGGTGTATGCCCATCAGAAATGTGTGCAGTAAACCACAGTTACATACAATGAATGGATGCTTCTCATAAATAATTTTGAGAGAAGGGCAAAGTACAGTATACAGTGCGTAACTCCTTTCACATAAAGCCTCAAACCTACAGAGCTATTTGTTGGCTTTGGGAGGGGGTTTCTGATGTTAATGTCCTAGTTTTTGATCAGGGTTTGGCTGTGTAGGAGCAATCACTAAGATAAATACTTATGTTTCATATGCTTTCTGAATTTATAAAACTTCAATAAACATGTTCACATATATTTAATGAGGGATATAGATTTTCTTTTGTTTTGCTGATTTACTCTTTTAAGGCCAGAGACATGTAACTATCAGACAGCCTAATATCTATCAGGCTGTTAACTTCTGAAAACTGATTTTACTCCAGATACTGGTTTTAACCATTTTTTCTTTTTTTGCTGAGGTTGGTCAGGAGCAGGTTTGAATGAGCATGTCCAGTCAGGATGTTGACTTTGCTGATTTTGCCAATTATTAGCTTAACTTTATAAAGAATTACTGTCTTTTAGGTTGTGATAAATTGTGCCATTCCTAAAGGATTGAAGTACAATCAAGCTACACAGACCTTCCACCAATGGCGGGACGCTAGACAGGTGTATGGTCTCAACTTTGGCAGTAAAGAAGATGCCAATGTCTTCGCAAGTGCCATGATGCATGCCTTAGAAGTGTTGAATTCACAGGAAACAGGTAGGGTGTCCACGGGTTACCTGTTTTCTTGAACTGAAGTGCTGTGTATATATTAAACCAAGTCTTTCCTGACCAACTTTTAAATCATATATATATGTATTAATATTTGAAGTGATTCTTGAACTTCTTTTGTTTTCTACAAAAATGTGAACTTTTGTTTGTTGATGATGAACATTTACTCTAGAAGGATACTCTTATGAGACTGGTTAGTAGTTAGTAATTTTTTAGTGTTCTCATTTGAAGTTATTTAATTTGTTTATTGTGATCTAGAACCTTAACTTTCATTGCAAGGACATGAGACTCAGAGATAAACTGTGGACTGAATATGCATATTTGTCATCATCTTATTTTTTATGATGAAACACATGTTTTCTGAAACATGTTTTTTAAGCCACTGCTGAATCCATGAATTTCAAGGTCTAGGACTAGGTCTCCTTCCTAGTAGATAAAAATTCCATTCTAAAACTTGTTTAAAGATTTTCAGCGTGCCCTCCGGTGGTGCAAGCTGTGAATTGCATGTTCTCTGACACTGCATGGTGGTCAGAAAGGTGTGTAGAAATAATTCACTTACACACAGGATTTGAAAGTGTATATATGTCAGAGGTGAGCTCTATTTTTATTTTGACTTAAAAAAATAGGGAAGAAATGCCAGTTTGTGATTACCTCTTTGGGGAGATAGATTTAATAATCAGAAAATTAAGGTTATAATAAAGCAAACATGTATGATTACTCTTGCTTGCCTTTGTGTATTTAGTAGCAATCTTATTGATATAAGCATGCCATAAATAAGGTTTGTTTATATATCTTATGAGGAAGGACTTACATAGTTACATTAAAATTCAATATTTTGTTGAAAGTACAGAATTTCAAAACCTGTTATAGATAATTTAAATTTTATTTATACCTTGCCCTATTCTAAAAATGATTGAAGCATCTAGCCTCTGAGTTAGTCCATTTCAGATGTGATTTTCAGGGCAAGAAGAAACTTTGGAATCTTGCTGAAACTACCTTATTACACCTATAGGTGGTTTATATTAGATTTTATTTTGAGGAAATTAATGTCTCTATAAATAATTTGTACATAACTCTCTTATCTATTTTGAGAAAATAAATCACTAGAACTTCTAGTCTGTCACTAAGTCTAGAAAGTAGCAGAGGAAAATCTGCGTATTTGTACAGACTTGTATGTACATTGTCTAGGTCACTGTACTTTGCTTTCAGGCATCAGTATTTTATCAGCATTCTCTTGTAGGTATAGAATTGCATTTCTGTTACTTAGTTTTACCATAAGGAAGCAACTCTAATTGTTGGTCTTAATATTTTATTGAATAGATCAATTACATAATAAATAATTAAAGAGCCAAACTTTAGGGAGCATATGTGTGACAATAACGTTTAGCTTCTCCATGTTTGGAACAGTCTTGCATTATTTTTATTTCTGAACTTTTCAAAAGCATGTCCACTGATACTAAGAATTGAATGTTACTAATTTAAAGTGGTTAACATTATTATTCATCTTATCATCAGTTTTTTTAACCAATTGGAAAAGGTTGTTTTTATCAGTGTATAGTCATATAGTTTGTCTTCAAAATGCAGATGCTAATTAATGATTTTTTTCTTTTGATCTTGATCTTTTGATATTAATGAGTCTTAATGTGGAGAGACTCAATTACATTGTCTATTGTAAAGTAATTTCCATGTTATAGGAAGTTTAGTACATGAGAAGATCGCCCACCATCTCCTTAGCTATGCAAACATTTTGGTAAAGCAGAAAAATTGAATAGATTTCTCTCAGATAAGTTTGGAGCTTATTCTCTTCTCTGTCACAATTTCAACTTAGAAATCATGGCCTGAGGCAAGAGAGAGAGTGGTGGAAGAAATTGGTCCATTAGCCACCTCCTTGCATCATGGCCCCAGTCACTGGCAAGGAAGCTTTTGGTTCTGTGGCTTTTTCATCAGAGAAGGCAAAGCACATGAAATGTTTTTTATAGTCTGACTTACTTAGAAAATGACCATTTTCGTACATTAGTATAGTTAAACACTGTCTCCAATTTTTGGTAGCAATAATTGGCTTGGCATTGGAGGCATAAGGCGCTTCCCTGGTGGCTCAGCTGGTAAAGAATCTGCCTGCAATACGGGAGACCTGGGTTCGATCCTTGGGTTGGGAAGATCCCCTGGAGAAAGGAAAGGCTACCCACTCCAGTATTCTGGCCTGGAAAATTCCATGGACTGTATGTATAGTCCATGGAGTTGCAGAGAGTCGGACACGACTGAGCGAGTTTCAGTGGAGGCATAGAGGATTTAGATGCTGTGAATCTGAAGTGTCCTCAGGAAAGGATATAAACTTTTCTGTAGATCTCAGAAATAGCATCGGTAAGAACTCTGCCCCCAGTGTTAATTTTGTGAGTCCCTGCTATCCACATAAACAAACATACCCAATAATGTCACCTCTCATCATGAACATGTCGTCCCCTTCCACAGCTGTTTGCTTTGGATTCATAGCCAGTTCCTTGCTAAAACCATCTATTCTTTTCCTGCCAAAACCAAGTTGGGAACAGGTAACTTGCATGTCCCCTCCCTAAGTAAACAATATACCTTGTAAATCTCTGATCAGAAGCAAAAGAAACAAACTATTCATAAAGGTAAAGTACCTGTAGCTACTAGTCTGTTTTTACTTAGTGTCTTTCCACTTTTTAAAACCAGTTTTTCATATTGAATGCTTCTGGATTTTCTGTTTATTAGGTTTAATGTATTATTCATTGAATATTCGCTAGTCCTTTTTAGTGGTGTTCAGGCTTTTTAAAGTCATGGTCACCTTTGTACAAAAAAAATCATTTTTAGATGCTTAGTGCATAGACAGACCAATGCCCCCCATCCGCACCCCCCCGCCCCCAGGGGGGAAAAAAAAAGAAACCTGCAGAGGTTCTCTGATTAATGTGGGAATTGGGAGCCTGTGACCATGGGGACACCCATGTGGTTCCCTCAAGCAGGATTTGGAAATTACTAACTCATCTTTTCTGCCAAAATAAAAAATCACAATTCTCCCTTCCTCTTTTCTTTGCCCCTCCACGTCTCTAAATCCTCAAAAAAAATGTTCAAATTAAGGGAAAAAGACAGCCTTTTCTATAGCTAGTCATGCTGACCTTTACAAGGTGCTCTGTGTGCATGTTTAATATTTCCATTTCTTTTATGAAAGGAGTGGGTGGCAGGAATGTTTTCCTTTATTTTGTTTTTAACTTAGTGTGCAATTATCTAATATACTGGAAAGTACAGAAGGTGCTAAATACAGTGAGTTATATTTGGAATGTAAGAAACAAGTCACATGTTCTAACATTTTTGAAAGAGTTGAGTTTAGTGCTTTCTTTTATACCAAAAGCTAGTTTATCAGTTTCCTTTGCCTAATAGAAATGGACTCACTTAAGTACATTCAAAATGTGTTATCTAGCCTGGTATTTTTTATTTCTTTATTATTTATCAAGTATATTTGTAGCAGTTTTGCAGGTAATAGTCATGGATTATATAAAATATGAAGTCAGTCTTTTTTGTGATCAGTAGATGTAAACTTCCACAGTCTATTTCATTTTGAAAAAGGTTTAAGTCATTTGAAAAAAAGATAATTCTTAAAATCCATTTTTAATAAAGGGAAATCATATTGGTTTATTATTATTCTACTCCTTTTGTTCTGTTGAACCAAGATTAAGCATACCTTTATAAGAGGAAAACCTTAAAATATTTTACCATTGACTAAGACTGCTTTTGCTGGATTTTATTTTGTGTCTGTTGAAAGCAAGAATATAGTCAAAGATAACCTCCTGTAGGAAATTTTCCTTAGAACTTATAGTTAAATATTTATGAAGACTGAGATTCCATTCATTTTTTTAATTGGTAATTTGGTCTGATAAACCTTACAGTATGTGCATTTGTATGAGTTTTATCTCAGCACTTTAAAAAATCTTTTTCAGATATGTTTCAGAATTAACTGGACTTAAAATATCTCAAAACGTTTCTAGAAATACTTTTTATGTTTATAGTGGCACTTTTATTTTTCAGACATCCAGATTGCCATTATTCATGGGACCAATATTACGGTTATGTCACAAAAACCCATCAAACACGTTTTGAGCATAGGTCCTGTGCTGGGTACTGGGAGTGATGCTAACATGATAAGGCCTATCCCCTGCCTTCTAGGATTTCACAGCAAAATTAGAGTACAGTTTGTGACATGTGAATGAAGTATACAGAAGAAAATTCTAGGGCAAAGGGAAGTTTTGAAGAGAAGATGATGTTTGAGCTGTCTTTTGAAGAATAAGTAGATGGTAGAAGAACATTCTGGATAGGCTTGGAGGCATGAGAGCCTGGCGCAGTTGGGAAACAAGCAAGCAATGTGGTGGGCTTGGGCCGGAGGGTTTCTATCTATCTGGGAGGGAAGTCACAAGAGATGAGACTGGGAAGGGCCTTGTGTTCCTGCTGGGCAGTGTGCAGTTCAGGATACTGGTTGGTGATGCGGTCTCTGAAGGGTGCTGAATAAATACTTCAGGACAAAAGTGATGGATTGGTAAGCATGTGTTTGTAGGCATGGAGATGAGTTTCAGATGCTGTTGTGATAATACCAGTGAGAATGATGAGGCCTGAAATGGCAGTATAAAAAGGGAAAGGAGCAGAGTAAAGAGGAGGTGACAAACTTTTAGTGCCGACCTTGCCTGTGCATTGTTTTAGGCCTTCTACTTATGTCCTCATTTAGGCCTTAGAGCAGTTCTGAGGCAGGAGTAATAATCTATTTTTAGTCACCAGTTTTTTGGCCGGTCCTAATTGGGCACGTTTATTACCGATAATCTATATAACAACACTACAGAGTTGCTGGTATTAAGCTTGTTTTAGACATGAGGTTGGGGCTTACAAAAGGACTGGCCCAAGAGCCCACAACAAGACAAATGGCCATTTGTACCCTGATTTAGTTTTAGCATTCACCCTTTTTCTGCTGTGTCCGTGAGATGTAATGG